GCTACTTGCAGATTTTCAGCATTCCTTTCATTCTGGGAAACTGGTATGAACTTTAGCTCCAAGTTTGGACTGTGTACAAAGAGGCTAATGAAAATGGATTTTAGGGTGTGTGTTTGTTAAAGAGGGGAGTTCTTCCTTTGGAGTGCAGAGACCAATCAAATGGGGGCATATAAAGTGACATTCCGCCAGAGGAGTCCGTGCTCCAGAAGCACGTTTTTGCAGAATGGTGTTGCCACGAAGCTGTGGATCTGTGATTTTTGCAGCTCAAGCAGTTGGCATGGACATGTTATGTGTTTTGACGGTGTGTTTGGAGTGACCCAGTACAAAAACCTTGAGGATCCATGAGGATCTGTGTTTCAGAAACATGTTTTGGCTTCATGGTGTTGCCACAAAGCTTTGGATCCATGATTTCTGTGGTTCAAGCTGTGCCCGTGGACATGATATGTGATTTGATGGTGATGTTGGGATGACACAATTGAAAAACCCTGAGGATCCATGAGGATCCGTGCTTTGGAACCATGTTTTTGCACTTTCGTGGTGCCACGGATTCGTGGAGGCATGATTTTTGTTCTGGTGCCTATAGTCTAAAAAATGATGTACAGTATGATGTTGGTTTCATTTCGTTTCAGTGTAAAAATTATATGAAATCATGAGGATCCATGCTTTGGAATCATGTTTTCACACGTTTGTGGTGCCACAAATCTGTGGATGTATGATTTTTGTGGTGCCTTCTATAGACCTGCACATGGCCTACAGTATTATTGTGGTTTTATTTCATTTCAATGTAAAAATCATATGAATTCTTGAGGATCCATGTAGATCCGACTTTTACCCAGAGCCCTTCTTACTGGTGCAAGAAAGCACAAAAGAGCCCTCAGTGGTGACATGATATGATATGATAATGGCAGAAGCTCGCCAGCTCTGAGTTGGGAATACCTTAGAGATTTTTTGGGGGTGGAGCCTGAGTGGTGGGTGTCGCCTTCTGACACACTTCCGGTGATGCCAGAGGGGTGTGACATATGCTAATGAGTTATGCTAATGAGCTCCTGCACCTCTTTTTCTACGAAAAGACCTCTGAGTAGATTAATCACTTATAACTACAGGGCCAAATTCATAGACAATTTCTCCTCAACTGCCACAGAGGTGATATTATGCATATGGCAACCCTAACCACACATTACCTTTCATTAGGGATCAAGAGACATATCAAGAGATGTGTTCTGGAGTTTTGTGCTTTGGGCCTCATTCAGACCAGGACCATGGTGCACAGAGAGAGGGGACATAGACCTTCCCCCTGCACTGTTCTCCTGAACTGAAGTGGCTTTGGGGAGCTGCTGTTTGCCCCATTTGGGAAACATAATGTGTTCTGCATCCAAGGCTATTTTTGGGCAGGAATG